CCTTACAGAAGGGTCTCAGGGAGGACATGAGCCAGTCAGGGTGCGATGTAGCAACCATGAAAAATGCAACTTTCCTCTAGTTCCTAGATGCTTCCAATCCCCCCTCTCCCCATCCCTATCATGATCCCAATTCGACCTTGCAAGTCTAGCTAGACCAGAGGATGTACACTGGTACAGATAGGAACTGGAAACACAGGGAATCCAGGGCGGATGATCCCTTCAGGACCAATGGTGTGAGTGGCGAAACAGGGAGGGTAGAGGGAGAATGGGTTGGAAAGGGGGAACCGATTACAAGGATCTACATGTGGCCTACTCCCCGGGGGACAGACAACAGAAAAGTGGGTGGAGGGAGACTTCGGACAGGGCAAGATATGACAAAATAATAATTTATAAATTATCAAGGGTTCATGAGGGAGGGGGAGCAGGGAGGGAGGGGCGAGAGGAGGGAGGGGGAAAAGGAGGAACTGATGCCAGGGGCTTAGGTGGAGAGCAAATGTTTTGAGAATGGTGCGGGCTATGAATGTACAAATGTGCTTTACACAATTGGTGTGTGTATGGATTGTGTTAAGAGTTGTATGAGGCCCTAATAAAACGATTTAAAACAAAACAAATTTTGGGATACTTTTATGAAATAGGGTGCATTTATGCGGAAACGGTGCACAAATATTTTATAGACAGTCATTTTGATGTCAACCCCACCACCACCACCACCACCACCGGGGGAACATCCCCAGAGTGTCACCCCGTTCGATCCACACCTCCCTTGTAGTGATGCCACGGCCTGGCCTGAGTCGCTCCGAAAGACAGTGCAATGAAAGAGTCACTGGGTCAAGTCCAAAGCTACAGAGGAAACTCCGCTATAATGAAAAACCAAAGATTCCGCCGGCCGGATCCGGGAAGCGGGTTCCAGCTCGCCGGCGGGCACGCCCCCCGCCCTCCGGTGCCGCCCGCCCGCGCCGAGCCAGGGAACTAGGGGAAAGGCTGCGGAGGAGTCAGCGGGGCCCCTCCTTTCCCGGACTGTGCTTCCCCAGGCAGCAGAGCCCGGGCGCTGCGGGGACGCCTGCTTTCTCCCACCCCGCCCTGGACCACGGCCGAGCGCGCAAGCGCGGGTCGGCTTCCGGGCCCAGGGACCTGCCAGAGTCCATCTGGCTGAGCACTGACCCCCAACAAACAGCCTTTCCCTTCGTGGTGTGGGTGTTCCTTCTTAAGGGCCTCGCCATACCTGTGTCTCCCCCTAGCACCCCATCTTCTGAGATCCCCCTTAATGGGGCGCCGGGGCTGTAAGTGGGGCAATGTTTCATGAGGGTTCTGAGCCCCCACATCTGGCATGAGGTGGGACCTGACCCTCTAGCTCTTTAGTTCCTGCTGAGAGCATCTTTAACAACAGAGGCCTGGCCCAATGGGGAAACAGGGCTATATTTGATGGGGAAACAGGCCCAATGCGGGCACGTGGCTTGCCCCGGCTAATAAGGAGCCGACCCCAAAGCTAACTGGCCATCTCACACTTTCTTAAGACGGCATGGCAAACCTTCCCAGCTGGGCAGAATGGAGCTTGCAAAAAAGCGTCACCATTCCAGGAACGTCATGGGGCATGAAACCTCCGGCTTGGGATGGTGTGGGAAGGTGGTGCCTGGAATCTTGGTTCCTTAAGAAAGTGAGGCAGTCGGCCCTGGTCTCTTCAGCCCCTGAAATAAGGAGAACAGGGCCTATGCGGGCGTCTGGTGCTGTGTCTTAAGCTCCGGTGGGTGAACTTCAAGGCTCCGGGCTTCATCGGGGTCAGGTGTACTTTCCACCCACTGGGTCTGGGCTTGAAGGTGCATTTTGACCCCCTCAAATGTTTCCTACAGCTGGAAGAGTCAGTGGGACATATGTATAACCCCACTCTGAGGGGTCCTGGTGGTGCAGTGGGTTAAGCATTGGGCTGTTATTAGACAGGTCGGCGGTTCAAATTCAGCCGGGGCTCCATCGGAGAAAAATGAGGCAGTCTGCGCCCACTGATTTTTCAATCTCAGGAACCATTAGGCGCAGTTCTAGCCTGCCCTATAAGGCCATGACTCAGAATTGATCTAGTGGCACGGGGTTTTGTTTTGTTTTTTTAACTTTAATGCCACTCAGGACCTCAGTGACTCACAACCACACAGGCTGAGTGGTCAAACACAGGTCCGGTGCCTGGCAATCCCCAGGCCCCTGGGCGGGGCCGCGTACGTGCGCCGGGGCGAGTAACTGGGGGCCCGCGGTGCGCGTGCGCACGTTCCGGGAAGGGAAGTATGGGACCCAATGTGTGCGCGTGCGCGCGTCTCGAGGGCGGGCCGAGTATCTGTGGGCGGTGCGTGGGTGGCCGAGGGCAGCGCTACGTTGCTCGCGGTGCCTTTGTCCTTCCAACTCTCCTGCTGGTGAGAGCAGACGCTGCGCGTGGCCGACATTCCTCCCAACTCCTGCACGACCTGCTGTTGCAGCGATCGGGCCTCTCCGGACCCTGTATCCTCTAGGTGAGCGGCCCTGTCCCCACCCTTCAGGCCATGTGCCCACCTGGTCGAGCTCCATCCCCGGCTGGGGCCCGCTGCTCACTCCCGCCCCCCTCTGGGTCCTCAGCCGCCCCGGCCTCATTTTCTGGGGAGAATGTGAAGCTACGTAGCTCATCCGCACCTCGCTCGCGCCCTTGTCCTTTCACTGCACTTGGTGTGTTGCGGGGTGGTCTGGTCTCTGCCTGCTTTCTTGCCCCTCCGGTTCCTGGACTGACCATAAACTCCACGAGGCAAGGGTCATAGTTGCTGGTTTACCGTGCTTTAGAACCTTTCGGGGGGGGGGTGCCCCCAAATTGTAAGTCTTCTAGGAATATTTGTGGAATGAGAACTTGATCCTCTGGGGGTTGAGTTTCAAAAAGTTTGTGGTTAAAGAATTAGATAGTGTATATGGAATACTACGTTTCTCGTTAAGAGGGACTGGGAACTTTGGGATTGGTTAATGGTGATGGTCCGGCCACATGGGGAACCCTTGTCGCATGTGAAAATGGCAGACATGGTAAATATTCTGTTACCTATGTACATAACACCGGGAGAAAGACGAGGTGTTCTACACTCAAAGGTCTCGCAATCTGGGGAACTCACAGGGGCAATTCCACCCTGCCTTACAGGCTCATTATGGGTTGGCATTAACTCGGTAGCAGTGAGCTTGAGGTATTTTAGGTTTTTGTGGTGGTTACATACTTGCCACAAGCAGGAGAAAAAGTTACTGTGTAACTCAGCTCTAACGGAGAGCTTTCTCAAGAGAATGTTCCCCTACACTCCCCACCAACTAAGAAAGGACTCTGGCTATTCCTGAGGGAGGGTGCTCTTCCCTGACTTGCGGGGCGTGCAGGGACTGAGTGTAGCTCCTGACAAGAATCTGCAGGAGAAGGAAACTGGTGGAGCGATGCTCTGGAATTCATTCATCCGGAAGCAAGGCTGGCCCTGCAGCTGGGGGCTGTGCAGTGCCTCAGAGTCCACCGTGGTGGCGACGGGACATCTGCCAGCCCTTGTCCCTTGGCTGGTCTAAGCCTTTTTCCTGGGTCCACAGGGAGAGAACCAGCGGAAACCAGAGCCAGCCGCTTGCATGTCCCCAAAGGCTAGAGGCTAACCTCTCCTCTCTTTCCGTAGGTTCCAGAAGCAGAAGGCAGCTCTGCCGAGGAACGGAGAGGCCGGTCAGCCATGAAGCAGGTGTTCAAGCTCTACTTGCTGGGGGTGGTGCTCACCCTCTTCTCCATCTTCTTTGGACTGATGGAGTCGCTAGAGGGCTTACTGGAAGGCCCATCGCCTGGGAGCGCCTGGACCAACAGAGGCCAACTAGCCCGAGCAGAGGGCCCCAGAGGCCTTCCGGACCATCCCTCTCAGCCCAAAGGGCTGCGATAAGCCCTCCTCCACCCACCGGAACCTCATAACACTGAATGAATCCTTGTCAGCTGCCCGGGTGCCTCGGCAGGCAGACTCTGAGCAGCAGGGCTCTCTGAGAACTATGTGACTATCCCTTGAAGGGGCTTTTCCTCTGAGTGCTGCCGGCCCCAGGAGAAGAGCCTTGTTTAGGCCCCAGTGGCTGTGGAGCAGCAGGCTCAGCCTTCAGGATCTGCTGTGTGGTCTGTAGTTCCCAACAGGGTGCTTCCAGCTCCTCCCAGAGGGCAGCTGATGCTGCGGCTTCAGCTGTTGGGGAGTGGTGCTGTCTCCCCAGCTCCACACACGTCTTCCAGGCGCTGTTCTGGTTGGGATTTGGGGTCATTTGATTTGGTGTTGGGCTTCTCTGCCAAGAGATCACAGCCACAGGGGTGGGCTGTGAAGAGGAGGAGGAGGAGGATGAAACAGTGTCATGCTTTACATTTGTAAGTCCTTCATCCCACATGTGTTCTATGTGTGTGTTGGTCTGAAAAGGGCACGGGGTGTTGTGAAACCTGCTCAGGACACAGGCGCGATGGCCACCATGTGGCTGAGATGACTTTTCCCAATGTAATAAAAGTTGAGTATGTTTTCGCTCCGTGGCACAGTGGCTCCTGCCCTTGACATCGTGGTGGGGAAGGCGCCTCACTCTTCAGGGGCGGGTTTTCACATTGTCACACTTTAAACCAGGAAAGAGCTTTCCGCACTTAATTTAAAACATACAGTTGGTTCTGTTCTCAAGCAGCGCCTGAGCCCAGACCAAGCAGACAACAGTTCCCTCTGGACTCTACCCATCTCTAAAGAGGAGGAAAATGAGACTTCAGTCTCGGGGAGGGTGGGCAGTGGAGGAGGACAGACAAGTGCCCTTTACTCACCCAAGTGACAGCTTGATTCTGATTGACGTCCAGTCAACTAGTCAGAGGCCCACAGGCCACGTGATCATCTCTACTCTCTCCCTCAGGTCTGAGCCATGTAGGCTGTGCTCAGAAATGGCCTTTTGTATCTGCCGCTGCTCCACTCCCCACCCTAGGCAAGCGAGTTCACTCCCTTGCCTGGAGTCAAGCCTCTGGACTCTTGGCTTGGTGTGTGTGCCATTATACAGCTGAGTGGGAAAGGGGCGTGGAGCCCTCTGCTTCCACAGGTATTTCTGCTCACCCAGTTGTCCCTCCGGGGTGGGCTTGAAGTACCTTTATCCTAGAGCCAGTGATTTAGACATCCCCCACCAACTTTAAAATTTTTTAAATTCCATACCCTGGCAGGCACGCATGCTGCTTACCAGGTATTTCCAGCTTTTGGTCCTTGGGGCACCTGGTACAATTTTACCCTTTTGCCGCTTTGTGCTCAGCTGGATTTATGTGACTCCTTGCAGCATCTGTTCAACTCTCAAAACCATTCCTTTTCCATGTTAGTGTCTTTGGAACTAGCTCCTGAGCTACAGAGTCACTGAAGTCCGTTTCAGTGTTGCTTCTCCTCCTCTTGTAAGCATTCAGGCTGGTGTTTGGATGGATGGGGGAGGAAACTGCAGGGTGCCTCTGAGTCTGTTGCTGATTGCAGGCAGCTTCATGTGCCTGCAACTAATTCTACTGCACAGCTCTTTTCTAGACATACTTCTGGAATTGGATGTGTTTTCTCACATCCAATTGAGTTGCACCTTGGCTTTCCCAAAGTATGTCATCAGTGTGGTTCACAAGGCGGCATGACCTTGCAGGGGAGCTTTGTTCCAACATAACCCACTTGAAGATTTCCACAACAGCTGTATTGGCCTGATCATTTTGATCTTTCCTTAAGTGGACAGAGTGACCTACTGCCCTGGTTTGCCCAGGAGAAGGCTTTCCTGGGACTCAGGAGGGGGCAAAACCAGGGCCCATCCTACACACACCAGGATGATTGAACGCACTACCTACAAGGCTGAGACTGTAGACTCCAGACAAAAGCCCATTCTCAGCCTCATATCTATGACCAGAGAGGGAAGTGGCCTAATTGCTTCTGTCAACTCTGTGAGGGCCCTGCTTGCAAACTGGCCTGTTCTCTTCTGAACTCATCCCTCATTGGGCTTTGCAAAGGAAAGCCAACGACAGCCAATTGATTTATGCCGCTGACATTCTGCTCTTTGCCTGTTTCTCCATCTGCAAGCTCTTTCAATAGGTGTCTGAGTTGTTGCAGCTGACAGTTCTATCAGACATTTGTGCGATTACACAACATGCCTTGACATCCTTCCAGCTTCCAACAAGATGTCTTTGCTGCCTTCCAACTAGGATCATGTCCCACGTATGTGGGCTTTTGGTGATTGTTGTATTTACTCCCGTTCTGGATTCCTGTTTCCGGAGCAGGACACGTTAGGCTAGGTGATGCTACAACAATGTAACCCTGGACTCTCGGCACCTTCAGATTGGCACCCATCTCCTGATGCAGGCTCCTCGTCCATCATCTCTTGAGGCTTTGTTCACGGTTGATCTCAACTTTAGGGTCCAGACCCATGGAATTTGGACTCAAAGAGACTTAAAACAACCCTGATCACTGACTGAGCAGGAAGTTGATTTTAAAAGTTGCTCAATGCCCACGTCAGTGTTAGGGAAGGCAGGGGAGAAAGACGATCTGGAGAAGGACCCTAGGATTGCCTGAGCTGAACTGGAGCCAGATCCCGGAGGTGTCCTCCCAGGCTAAGACCTTCAGCATCTGTGCTCGGTGTGATTTCAGTATCCCCCTGATGCTGCAGCTCCCATTCCTTGGTCCTGCTTATTGCAACTGCCCTGTCCCTATCTGGCCACTGTAGATTGGCTGGGTAGGGCCCGTGATCTCTTGTCTGTCTAATGCTGCAGCAATAAAAAGGGCCCAAGTGGGTGGCTTTCCAGAACAGAAATTTACTTCTTTACAATTACAGAGAGTCAACGTGTGAGTTCAGGGTACTGGATATTGGGAGAGCCCCATTCTTGTCTATTTCAGCTTCCAATCCTTGGTGTTTCTCTGGTCGTAGACTAGCCTGGCTCCCAAACCTGCCCCAGGTATCTCCTAGCTCGTCTGCTTAATTTGCTCTTTTTATAGAAAAAGTGGCTACATTGAAGACACACTCTACGCACATAGGGCTTGTGTTCGGCTGGGTTGACTAGAGAAACAAATCCAGTGACACTCATATATGTATACAAAATAACTTTATGCCAAGAAGTGATTCTATATCAAGAAAGCATCCCATCCCGGTCCAACTCAAGTCCATAAGTCCGCTACTAGTCCTTACGTCCCTCTTCGGACTCACACAGCCACATGCAACGATGCAGAAGGCATGTGGGAAGGTCATGGCTGGCGGGTGCAGAGTTGTGGGGTCCAAGGTTGGGGGAAACATGGCAGGGCTCCAGCAGCTCTCAGGGTCAGTGGCTGAGCCCCAGCAAGCAGGGAGGCAAAGGGGAGAGTCAGAGGGTGCTTCCCAGGGTCCCTGTGGATAAGAAATCCACACCTCCAAGGAGGTATCATCAGACTGAGACCTGGCTGACAGGTTAGAGCCCCTCCCTACGCTTTCATACAGCTCCGAGTTGACATAAAACCATCTAAGTACCCCAGGGCCTCATTAACACAGCGAAGAACACACTACACCCAGGCCTCACTTACCAACAGAGTTAGGTTCCAGAGACCACGTTGTTAATGAGAAAAAAGCAAAATTGGGCTATATACAAACAGGATGACCTTCACATCATGACATAACCAACCGTCACATCATCTCATCATGTAACTGCCAGACCTCTGCGAAACCAGGACCTAGCTAAGTTGGCACCTGCCCTAAACCGTCACCACCAGGGTTGCTCTTGCCATGCTCCCAGGCATGTGTTCCTGCCAGACGTACATTATTAAGTGCAGAACAGACTGCAGACTATTGTAAATAGTGAAATGTCTGACGACAAGAGAGTTGATAAGTGAGCTGGCAGTTGAATTCTCAAACAAGATTACATCCATGGGTATCACTCACTGCTTCTGAGTTGATTCAGACTCATAGCAACCTTGTAGGGCAGAGTAAAACTCTTCCTTACAGGATTTCTAAGACTACACTTTTAGGGGCTCAGGCAGGCAGCCTTATCTTTCCTCTATGGAGCGGCTGGTGAGTTTGAACTAACAACCTTAAGGTCAGTAACCCAGTGCTTAACCCACTGTACAAGCAGGGTCCCTTTTATCCCCAATTGTTGGAATCCTAACACAGAGGCTATCTTTAGGTTTGTCATTAGGTGGCATCCAGTTGGTTCCAACTCACACTGCCCGGTCCGGTCCACCCTCATCATTGTTCTTGTGTTTGAGCCCCTAGTTGTAGCCACTGTGTCAATGCATCTTGTCAAGGGCCTTCAAAGCATGATGTCCTTCTCCCTGCCACTCCGTTCTCTTGACAGCAAGTCTAAAGTATGTGAGATGAAGTCTCACAGTCTTTTCCTCTAAGGAGTATTCTGACTCCTTCTTCTTCTTCTTCTTCTTCTTCTTCTTCTTCTTCTTCTTCTTCTTCTTCTTCTTCTTCTTCTTCTTCTT